CCAACCTTGAAGCCTGAAGGTTAGACCCATCTTGTACCTTTCTGTACTCCGTACTGGTCAATGTGATACTGTACTAGTAGTGTACTGTATATACTCTGTAGTAGGATGAATATTAGCAAGAAGCTGGAGAGGCCATGAAGGTACTTCAGAAGAACATACATAGAGTTCCTAAACGATGAGGAATGCTGTCTCCAACTAGGTTCAGAATACTACTTATGAAAGTGGACGATCTCCGGAGTACCTGAACCCACTACTACTAGTAACTATACTACCTAGTATTAGACAGGTTTTCACAGGCGGCGACCTCTCGGGTTGGATTGCCGAGGGCCGATGTAGCCAATGAAACGAAGCCATTCGCATAGATCACTATGCAAGGAAGACCAGATTTTCTTCATGTAAACTACCCTTACTAATTTACCCATACTGCCTCCACAGGCCTCAATTGACTGCTTTCAAATGATGGCAAACACAGGAGACAAGCGGAGGTCAGTGCTGATCACAGGGTAAGTCACAACAAGTGGTCCTGCACCAAATGCCGTGGTGTAAACTCTGCATATGTTATTGGCAGTACCGATACCCTTGACTTTCTTATGCTGATTATATAGTTGCTCTCCCGGTGGGATAGGAAATGCGCTTGCGCGTGAATTTCATCAGCAAGGACTACGTGTGTTTGCGACAGCGCGAGACACGGAGACACTGCAGAGTCTGGCAGCCCTAGGGATTGAAACACTGAGCCTTATCGTAGATGACGAAAGGAGTGTCCAGTCATGCTATGCAGAGGTTCGAGAAAGGCTTGGAGAGAAAGGACTGGATTATCTAGTCAATAATGCGTGAGTTTACGCCAGATGCAGCGAGAACAAGGGGCTGATCCGAATCTCTAGGGGCCGAAGTACGTCTGTTTGAGATCACTGCTGTGAAACACTACCTACGCGCCGTCCAGAAAGAAAGAAATGGCTCATACTTCATAGATTATACCGTTCCTGCTATGGAGGTAGACCTCGCGGAGGCTCGTGCAACCTTCGAAACGAATTTATTTTCGGTCATTAACATGTGCCAAACATTCCTCCCTCTACTCAAAAAGACCCAGGGCACCATCGTACAGATTGGCTCTATCGCAGGGGTAAGTTAATGCAACACATACTTTTGATAGGAGATAAATCTAATCCTATCTAGGTCATCCCCTATGTGTTTGGATCAGTGTACAATGCCTCGAAGGCCGCGTTGCATTCGTTCAGTGATACTCTTAGGGTGGAACTAGCTCCCTTCGGGTGAGTAACCAGCTCATCTCCCCAGGCCTTTTAGCTGGAGTTAACCTAAGTAGCGTAAACGTGACGACCATTGTCACTGGAGGTGTGCAATCTCGCATTGCTCGTGTCAAACGTACCCTAGCACCGAATTCACTTTATGCTCCTATTGAAGATGAGTATAATCGTCGCGTGATACACAGCCAAGACGGTGCAATGCCACACACTGCATATGCAAAGAGTGTTGTTGCACAGATCTTGTATGGATCAGCACCGTGGCGCTGGCTGTGGCCATGGGCTCATGGCCGTAAGAGCTGGATATGGGAAGGCAACAAGAGCTGGGTGGTTTGGTTCTTGTCTGGAGGCTGGGCGTGGACTGGCATCTTTCACTATGCCATGACGAGAATGTTCAAGCTTTATAAGCTGAGGAAGACGGGCGGGAAATAGGGAGGAGACCGAATCCATGCCTTCCTCTTCACTGTATTCAATAGGATATCCACGTCGGAGATACGTTTTATAGACAATAGAGCATAACAATATCATGTGAAGCTACCCTGTGCCCATCTTGATAATCCTCATACAGTAACTTCATGGTACCAAATAATGTGGCTAATTAGTACTTTGTTTTTAGTTGTTCCTGACGGCCGTTTAAACTATTTGCCGGTTAATATCAAATGCTGACATGCTGTAGAAGATATGAATATAATGATTAAAAAAACATACTCATCATCAGTACGCGGATATACATTGGGCAATTTTTTATGTGTTACTCATCCTTGAATAGAATTTGGCAGTACATCCCCATCTGCCAGTCTACTCCGTATGCCACACCCGAGTTCAACGGAATACTACTAGTAGTGTCGAGCATCGTTCCGTGATATTCGCGTCCCGATCCGATTAGTCATCCCGAAACGCACTCTGGTTGGCTTATCAGGTGACCCCGAACCTGCCGTACTCAAGGCAAAAGACAGTATCATCCCGAGGAGTGCGGCCGTGAAAAAGAAAGCTGTTCCCCCATCAGCCCCTAACACCACCTGGCAACACGCCACTATTGAGGACTTAAATAATCATTTTTCCTGTTCTTACCCTTCAACGAGCTTCTCTTGAACCCTCTCCCCTCCTTTAAATTCACTTCACCATGTTCAAGCTCGCTCGCAGCAGACCAATCGCGGCAGCTTTCAGAGCTGCGACGGTGAGATTCCTTAGTTTCGCCCAAACTTCCGAGCCTCACAATGACACAGTAACTGACATTGTGATTGCCCACAGGAGTCTTCTGTTCAATCTCGCATTTGCCAGCAACAGAGAAACCTGTCGATCCATGAATATCTGTCCGCGAAGCTCCTCAAGTCGGTACGAACAACCGGATGCCTTGGATTTTCCCCCCCTTTGTCTTACAAACTAACCAATCGGATACATAGTATGGTATAGGAATGCCCAAGGGTGAGGTCGCTCACTCTGCAGAGGAAGCCGAGGCTGTTGCTAAGTCCCTTGGTATGGTTTATTCCCTCGGCACTTATAGATCGCAATTTGCTAAGACGCAGGGTGTCAGGCAATGATGATATGGTTATCAAGGCTCAGGTTCTTGCCGGTGGCCGTGGTAAAGGTAGCTTCGATAATGGCCTCAAGGGCGGTGTGCGCGTTATCTACTCGTGAGTTTGGCTCAGTTCTTAGGTGTGCCGGTTTGGTTCCTTGTATCTGACAAAGAATATCTCCTCAGGCCTACTGAAGCCAAGATGTTCGCTGGTCAAATGATCGGACACAAACTCATTACTAAGCAGACCGGTGCTGCCGGTCGTCTTTGTAACGCTGTGTATATCTGCGAGCGCAAGTTCGCTCGCCGTGAATTCTACCTGGCCGTTCTCATGGATCGCCAGTCGCAAAGCCCTGTCATTGTCGCCTCCTCACAAGGCGGTATGGACATTGAGGCCGTTGCCAAGGAAACCCCCGAAGCTATCATCACCACCCCCATTGACATTAATGTCGGTGTTACTGATGAGATTGCTGGCAAGATTGCTACTGAGCTCGGCTTCTCCGAGCAGTGCATTCCGGAGGCCAAGGACACCATTCAGAAGCTTTACAAGGTCTTTATGGAGAAGGATGCTACCCAGATCGAGATCAACCCTCTGTCAGAGACTTCTGACCACCAGGTTATGGCTATGGATGCCAAGTTGGGCTTTGATGACAACGCAGACTTCAGACAAAAGGAAGTTTTCTCGTGGAGAGACGCCACCCAAGAAGATGCTGATGAGGTTAAGGCTGCTGAGTATGCTATTTGCTATAACCTACAAATGAGCTTTAGTGTGTGCTAACAGTGCGATAGGCACGGATTGAACTTCATCAAACTCGATGGTGATATCGGCTGCTTGGGTGAGAACCGCTTTAAGTTATTCGTCCCTTCTATGCTAACCACATACTTAGTTAACGGTGCTGGCCTCGCCATGGCTACCATGGATATCATCAAGCTCAACGGTGGTAACCCCGCCAACTTCCTTGATGTTGGTGGTGGTGCTACCCCTGCTGCCATCAAGTCTGCTTTCGAGCTTATTACCAGCGACCCCAAGGTGTCGGCCATCTTTGTCAACATCTTTGGCGGTATTGTTCGCTGTGACGCCATCGCCCAGGGCTTGATCAATGTTGTGAACGAGATGGGACTGCGCACTCCTATCGTTGCGCGTTTGCAGGGTACCAACATGGAGCAGGCTCACAAACTGGTATGAAACTATGCAATCTAAAGCCTAATTCCTTACCCGTCTTTGTTTCTTCTTTCTGTGATAGCTTAAATACGTGCTAATACTTCTCATAGCTGAACGAGTCGGGTTTGAAGATCTTTTCCATCGAGGACCTTCAGAACGCCGCTGAGAAGTCTGTTCAATTCTCGAAAGTTGTGAAGATGGCCCGCGAAATCGATGTGGGCGTCGAGTTTACTCTCGGTATCTAAGCTCTGCGTTGTATTAGAACTTTACAATCTTCTTCGCATGTGGGTGTTCCGTTATTTCTTTTTGCGTTTACAGTTTATTACTTTGTATGGGAATGGGGACATCATCAGTGGAGGTGCTTACTCTGTTGTGTGAAGAGAGCAAGCAGTTCTTCAAAGACGATTCGGTGATCCTGCGCATTAAGTTTATACTAACTGAATTTTTTTTGCATAGTAGATGGGCCGCTGAACCTGGGTAATAAGGAAGCCTAGTAGTGAAGGACTGATATCAGGTATTCAGGAGAGAGTCCTGGGAGGCATTTTTCATAGAGCATTCATTGATGGTCCTGTATATCGTCCATTTCCAGATTTCTTTTCCTTTGTTAATGTATTCATTACTCATTTAGCTGGAGATGTTTTCGCCCTTTTGGGAGGGAGGCACTGGATCCTTGACGGGTATTGCTAACCGTGTAGACAAGGCTGTACATTTGTAATTTTGGAGAATTTGTATAATCATAAAGCACGAAGACAAAGCAGATGCCTGGAAAACCAAGAGCCAACCAGCAATCTAGCACGGGTTTTGTAGTGTTTTCAGCTCTTTTATAATGGAACGGCGCCTGATAGACTTATGTTGTCGTTAAAACACCAAACTTTCAGTCCGTTCTGATCAACCATTAAAATGAAGTCACGATCTCCTCTGAGTGTGAAATTAGTCCCATGCGAATAGACTCTATTTGACGCCTCCCGAGGCAACTGGGGATTGATACACCTGGCAGGGCGGTGGGCGATTCTGGCATCTGGATTGGAAATCCAGATCTCGGGTTTACCATTGTCGTTCTTGACATAGTAAAGGATGTTACTATCAACATATGCCATGCATATAGGGATGAACGGCGTATTCTCTGTAGACACCACATTTACGCTAACGCTGCCAGTTTCTTGATTGTAAGTGATGGCGGCAATATCACCGGGCGTTTCTGTTAGACAATCACCTCGCCCGAATGTTAAGATCCCCATCGCATTTCCAAATGTGGAGGACAAAGTGTCATCTATCTCCACATGCCAGGCTGGGTCTGCAATTGAGCTTAGTGCCACCGTAAAAGATGGGGAGCGCATGGCAACAGTGTCCTTGAGTGAATATTTATTGACACGCAATTGTGCAATGGAAGTATCAGGACCCACGGTTTCCTCGAGGTGAACCGTTATCAAAGTACCTGCAGTAGGGACCATGTCTATATATGCTATTTTGTTTGCGATATTAAACGTATGAGTAATGCGACTGTCAAACTGCCAGTGTATAATACACTCCGACCCGCTGGCCGTGGTGCTTTTGAACGCCATGGCGACATTCATATTGCGAACAACAAAGCATTTCCAGTGCAGCGATGGCAGTCGGAAGTACGCCGAATCGTTGGTTTGAAGGCTCCAGACATGACAGAATCTAAAGTCCCGGAGAACATGGATCTGCAGCATCAGCCAACATATGTCAAAGAGGAGGCACAATTCAGATGCATTTACGCTTACCCATGCAATGTTATAGCTGCTATAATGGATTCAGAAACGCGTAATGCAGTAAATGTATCTCTGTTTTCTGTGCAGAAGCTCTGAGTCGTATTCAAACGGAGGTTATGGACATAGACCATCGCGTCTTCAATCCATGCATAGCTTCCATGAGAAAAGTCAAGACCAACTAAGCCTGCCGCATTTGACCTTGGAGAATACGGACGGTTGAGGACTTTAGAGATCGGCTGTCCACGTTCCAAACGAATACGCTGCTTGGCATATCGTGTGAATGCATCTGGCGAATCTAGTGTAACGGATCTACAGTTGTGTCCGACATATCGAAGGCACACAGCATCACGGAATAGCGTGGAGGATAGTAGACAATTCCATCGCTTGGAGACCTACAATATAATGTTAGTCTGGGAAGACGGATCAATATATATACGATAAAGTTAGACATACTCTTCGGAAAATATGGATTTCTGACAAATCCAGATATCTAGAAATTTGCACAGCAACCTCGGTAGGCAGACTGCCCAGGATGTCTTTTTGAAAGGAAACTTGGTTCATGCGATCACGCACATCACGCCATTCATAAGGGTGCATCTGCTCCAGAAGCAGATGGTACCTATGGTGCCCATAATTAGCAATGATTACTAGAATGCGATTAGGAAGCGTTTCTCAGTATATCTCCTTTTTGTGGTTTCACATACACAGCTCGGCGAGCAGAGGTAGACTTTAAATCCTTGAACCGAGTGAGGATACCCTGTACTTCGGGATCCATAGTAGTTCGTTGGCCACTGCTTTTTAGGGGTTATATATTATAGGGAAGAGAGTGAGGTAGTATATCTCAGACGTGCAAGAGACCTCAAAGATGACATGAAAGAACGCATAACGAGCAGAAGAAATAATAAGCTATTGTTCACTGGACTGTCTGTGGCATTTCAAATTGAGAAGTACGGTGGTTGTTCAGGGTTGCTTCCACAGCTGCGGCTCCGTGCATTTAATTGTTCCAGGCCTTCCCGTGATCCATGCATGCTTCTCCTTCAATCATCGCCTTTAGGTCCCTTTTTCTTTTTCTTTCTTTTCCTTTTCTCCTTCACTACCTCTTTGGGACTCAATTTCGACCATATCCCAGGTACCTCTATCCTCTTCCGACCCGCATCTCCAGTAGGGTCGGAATTATCAATAATATATATTTGATAGTATTGATTTGCAATCTCGACAAAGGAACGAAGAAAATCAATCGGCATCTCGCGCCTCCGTTTGGCCATTTTCCGCCGAGGACAAAATCCCGCCTATGAGGGAAAAAAAGAAGCTATTCAACTAGCTGTTCCCTGCAGATCCATATTACCGCGAAGTTCTTACCACATCTTTACGGTCGAATTTTCCATCCCGTTTTTTGTTCATCGCAGAGCTCGACCCAAACCTCTGATCTCTGGTTGACAGAAAACGAAACTTAAAAGGAGGGAGGAGGAAGAAAAGAAAACCAAACGAAACGAAATCAACCAATCAAATCGCAGGAAAGAGGGTTTCCTTTTCCCTTTTATTTTCTTTTTTTATTTCATTTAATTTCCTCTTTATTTTTATTTTATTTTTATTTTCTTCCTAAAAAAAAGGGGAAAGGGAGAGAGACATTTCACAATTAGGTGTTGGGATACCAGAAACTTTCCACCATTGACACCAATAGATCAAAGGACAAACTCGCAATGACTCGGGAGGCGGAGACCCTCTAAGTGTTGATCAACGCCTTCTTGGCCCAGACTCCGTGATAACCATCAGCCTTCCCACGCTCACCTGTCGTCTACGAGTGACTATCAGCCGACAAATTTCACCCTCCGGCCAACATTTACGCCGCTGTCTATCGGCACACCATTCCGCTTTTCGCAGAAATAGTCGCGATCCTGTTTCACGTTTCGCTGCTGCGGCCCTTGGCCGGAGCCCTCTTCCCCTGTTCCGCCTCGCGAGATGAGCGGTCTCGCCGACCCCCCGTCTAGAAATACCGTAGTTTCTGGCGCTACAGATGCGCCAGGCAGGACACGAAAGCTTCCTCTCCTCTCTTCCTCCGTTCCATCTTCCGGTCAACCGATGGGTGATCCTATGGAGGTCACTCCGCCTGCTTCAGCAGCGGCAACGGGCGCTGGGCCCTCAGTCCACAACAATTCTGACAATGATCGAGCGGGCGGAAACACTATAGCCACTTCCAATGGTTCTACTGAGCCTGGGCATGTGCACAATCATTCAGCGCCCAGCCAGGCCATCGGAGCTGCGGCTGCAGCCCAGCAGCCCAAGGTTGTGCAAACTGCCTTTATTCATAAGCTGTATAAGTACGTCTCGCAAATTGTGACCTGTGATTGCGTGAAATACATTAGAGATGCTCTCAAGTGAGTTCATGCTAATAGTACCCGGCAGTATGCTAGAGGACCCAAGTATCCAACATCTAATCTCATGGTCCAACACTAATGACAGCTTCGTCATGTCGCCTACTTCCGAATTTTCTAAAGTCCTTGCGTTCGTCTTCGCTTCTGCCAGACCCTACATCAGTTGAGTTATAGCTAATTAATTACTAGTCAATACTTCAAACATACCAATATCTCGTCGTTCGTAAGGCAACTGAACATGTATGGCTTTCATAAAGGTATGCCTACCCTCTTGGCTAATGAGTTTTGTCTCTTGTCTGTTGCTCATATGGAACGCCTTAGTAAGCGATGTGTTCCATACTGGATCTCCAGACTCAGCACTTTGGGAGTTTAAACACGGGAATGGCAACTTCAAGCGTGGTGATCTGATTGGGTTACGGGAGATCAAAAGGCGAGCGTCTCGACATGCGTTGATCCATCGCGACTCGTTTCCGGGCCACAAAGCCGCTGCTTCCCAACCTGGCACACCAGCCGAACCGGTCCCTGATGCCACTGAAGCTCGCCTGATGAATCTGGAGCATACATTGTACGACATGCACAACCGCCTGGGTCGCGCCGAAGAAGGCAACGCGGCACTCAATGCAAGATGTCTAGCCATGGCCGAGAGCTTGAGCAGGTGCTATCATGTAAGTTTTACGCCTTTTATATCTTCACAACCTAACATGAAATGAAAATATCATTGATTATTTACGCTTTCAGTGGACACATTCGATCTCGCGCTTTCTGCAAGGTATGATTCCAGATCGTGAAGGTCTCCTGTACAGAGATGGTGAGTAGTAGTACATCATACCTATAAACAAATTGCCGGGATTTCAAATGGTTCTTAACAATCTCTAGTATCCAATATGCAGGCAGAACTGGAGAAACATCTCGACAGCGTGCGAGCCCTCGAGCACCCCCCTGATCCCTACCTCTCTATTCGACAGCCCTATGTACCAACTGTATCGGTTGATCCAGGCCCACCTCTATCCCCGCGCCAAATGCCACAGGAAGACAGTCGTCGGCCTTCGGTGATGGATACGACCAGACCTAACATGATACGACCACCTGTTCCTTCACATCTAGCTGTATCGCCTCGTAGATATGGCTCAATTGGCGCGGCAAATTCCTCCCCAACTTACGGCCGCCCGCAGGTCCCGACAGTCATTCCCCCACAACAGCCCATGCCGCATCCACTTTCATCCGTCTCTTCCCCACCGGGCCCAAACTTGGCTCGTCGGCATACATCCGCAGACATTCGGCAACATGGCTGGCCGCCCCCTGGCGTGTCCCCATTCCAGTCTGCTCATCAGACTGGTACAGCAACAGCTCCCTGGTCTCCCTCACCACATCGAACCCCAAATTCAAGTGACCAGCAGGTTCGAGAAGTTCTGGCACAGTATGAGATGGGAGCACCGCGACGTCTGCAGGATACCTCGCGTCACGCTACCCCTCCCTTGAATCCCGATCAAACAACTCCCGGACCTACCACCGATAATGGTTGGACATTGGGTCCGAGATTTCCTCGGCATGACACCTCTTTGCCTGCAACAAGACGGTCAAGCATGGCTAGCAATGTTCATTCATTGCTAAACCCGGCGGATACCGCCGAAAGACCCGACGAGGATCAGCATGCCACGATCGAGGATCGAAAACGAAAGCGTCTGGAGTAGATGAACATCGGTTACATTCTTGAGCTGTGCTCTTCGCGCTAAACGATGCATCTGTTAGGGTCTTTGGCCTTTGACGACAATAACATCAGGGATCAATTACTCGCTCAGCTTCGACCTTGCCGTGTGGCGTACATTCTGGAAACAAAGAGACAAGCGCAAAGCTAAACTTTTAGTACTGCATATCCTGGGATTTTCGTCATACTATCTGGATTCTTCTAATTGTCTAAACCTTGGTGAATCGACAATCACACAATCCTTTGGCGATCTGACTTGATTGGGACTACGGAGGTCCCAATTATTCTTACTCAAACTTAGGGAGGCGCGTATTCCTCTTCCGCCAGTATAGATATCTGTATAACATCATTGGTGGATGTTAGCATGTGACATACTATGGCTGCGTTGCTGATGCCAACATCCCAGGCTTCATTTGCCGTATATGACACACCCTCGAGTTGGTAGGGCCAAAAAGTTCTTGGATATTCTTTAGAACCGAGAATGAATGTTGATATCTAGGTGCTTATACTCGAGTGTATACGTAGATCTAACAGTGGGGCCGGTCCTTTCAGATCAGGGAAGTAAGCGGTTATGTTAGGTTTTAAGTGTGTATATAACTCTATCGTTGTGTATTGTATAGTTATCGTCAAAGTATCTCAAGCAGATATACGGGGGGTATATTGAAATCCAACCCACAACCATGAAAGCCTGAATAGGAGACGAATCTATTTCTTCTTCCTTTTCCTTGACCGCTCAGTAAGAATCTCATCTAGGAAGCTCGTGGCTTTCCTCCTCCCTTTTAGGCGATATGGCTGTTGTGATAAAGACCCTCCTCGCTTCACCGATGCCTCATCCTCACCATCTCCACCGTCATCACCCTGATCTCCACGATCGTCGTCAGTTACAATGGGGTCGAGAGTCCTTGGAATAGACTCCGCTTTTCTTTTCCTCGGGCCCTTCTTCCCGACCAGGGCCGTTCGTCCTTCGTCCTCGTCCTCGTCATCATCATCATAGGCTCTGCCGGCCATAGTCTGGGACTGATTCGTAGCAGAGCTGGCACCTGATGAGCTTCCCATGTTGCTCAGTTGTCGACCCGCGGCTGCATTCTTCTCTGACATGATTTTCTTGTAGTTCTTCCCAAGAAGTTGTCTCCGTAGTTTATCGTTGGAGCCAAGTTCCGTGCGATTCCAACTTCCATCGGCTGCTTTGGAGGGAAGGGGTGCCCCAACACCTAAACTGTAGCCATCATCCAATCAGCGCTATTCATACATCGTCATACATCACACAGAGGGGGGCAAAATAGAAACAAATAAAACCAAACAAATAAGAAGGGCAAAAGAGAGGACAGATGATTTTCCATAACATAACATAGAGAAAGACCTACGTTTCTGGCACAGCTGTGAAAACTTCATCCTCTTCTCGCTGTAACTCCTCTTCAGACTTTGTATTGGCTTGTTCTTCCTGAGTCTTCGGGGGTAGCCATGAGGCGACGAGTCGCTGACTGCGTGCCAAAGCAACATTGGCTTTGTTTAGTATAACATCTGTTTCCGTTTTGGATAAGGACATGATGGTCGGTTGTCCCACCTCGTCCTTGCTCTTCTTTTCTTTTTGGTCTTTGTCCTATCTATCTACACCCAACTTTTTGGCGATAGCGAGGCGGAAGGACACGGCATTATACTCACCGCCTACTCATTTCTTCAAATCATGGGGCTACTGCTCTGTCTTGGCGCCTAATGACAATTTGCAAGCTCTACCTGCGTTGAACTCAGTGGGTTACTAGTAGTAGTATCCTATCCTTTGTATATACATACAATCTATTGTGGTATGTAGACCGTCATTACAAGAACATTAGCCAGAGCCACGTAAACGAATCCAAACATGTCATGAACATCGTAGTGACTGGTATACATTATTATGCCCATTGTGTCGCTGTATTGACGCGCTTCGAATACACAGGATCGACATCCCTATCAAGGATATCTATCAGGGTTTCCGATATCATATCGAATAGTAGGTCATGTGGTCTGGTAGACTTAGAGTCGTTGGTGGGTTGGTGGTTTTCTAAACAGCCTAAGGAATGGAAAGCAGCATCGAATGCCTAGCGATCGGCTGTTAGTTGATGTTCCCAAACAATACACGAGGGGTATAATGGTTGACGTACCATTTGTAGTGTCTTTCGAAGTTCAATCAATAATCTGGCTGCACGATCGCCTCCCGTCCCTTCATTGGCCTGGACGAGGAAGTCCAGCCATGAGTCCATGCATATTCTGCGGCCGCTTCCTTGGAGTCGCCCTCCCAGGAGGCAAGCGGCGAGCGGCGTGACATGTGAAGTTTGCCTTAGAAAATACGTGTCTCCCGAAGAAGGCATGTTTATCGAATTGAAGATGAACAGACTCCTCGGTCGCTCCATAGAATTGACAGAAGAGGGTGACATATGTGTCATCTCATGTGTCTCAGTAAAGTAACGCCTGCGCGAAGCTGATGAAGGAGCTGCAAGATTGGGATACATGACATGAAATAGCAGAGCTTTGATAAGTGGGGTACGCCATGAATTGGTATTCAAGCTGGCACCTCCGAACTGGAAGTGCTCATCCAGGTGTTCACGGCAGGAGATGATTTTTTTCTTAGCTAGGATGTCAAGCGTATGGCGGGCAGCCTGTAACACTTCATAGACGCGATCGAAGTGCATATGGTTCGATACTGCAAACTTAAATGCGGCTGCACGACCCGCTCGATACCAGACCTCACGGGTCGCCTTGAATGCGTTGGCCGCGCTGAGGTGGTCACTCCAGGTGTTTTGTGAAAACTCTACACGAGTCCTGTGCACATCCTTACGTGTCTCTTGGTCTGCCGATGAATAGAACAAAGATTGGTCGCCCCCAATCACCCCTATAATGAGAAGCGGATCAAGGCAGCGAAATATTATCCCCAACAGAATCAGCTTTGCGCGGCAAGGGTCAAGGGGTAACTCTGAGAGAAGGGCTCCGAGAGGGGTCAGCCCCTCTTTCTCATCCAGTGCTCTTAAAAGCTGTAGGTTACTAATAGCTAAGTTCACCTTGGCCTCGTCCGGAGGTTCAATGGAATCTCGTAAGGTGTCCTGAATGGAGGCAGACGATACTGCCCGTTTCACTTGCAAAGAGGTCTGTTGTAAGTCCTCCCGCATCATTCCTGGAAATTGGGTGACGCGGAAAGAATCGTGCATATCCCTCGTGTAAAGAGCAAAGTACTCTCCTGCTTGGACTCTGCCAGCTCTGCCTGCACGCTGAGAAGCGCTGGACTGACTAATCCAACAACATGCAAACCGGGTTGTCCTTGACTGTGGGTCATAAATTTTTTGATTTACCTTACCGGGATCAATGACAAACTTCACATCTGGAATGGTTATCGAAGTCTCGGCAATATCAGTAGACAAGATAACTCGGCGACAAGCTCGCGAAACTGGACTAAAAAGCTCTTTCTGACCATCGGGAAGGTTTGAATGGAGCTGCAGGATCTTGTATCGGCTATCATCAGAGAAGTCACAGCCTAATATCTTTCCATGTTTTCGGATGGTACTTTCAACGGCCATGATGTGACGTAAACCTGGAAGGAAGACCAAGATAGAGCCTTCCTCGGTACTAGACAAGACATAACAGATAACGGCGCATATGAGGCCGAGTGGCATCAAAGGATCTTCTTCTCGAAGCACGGATCGAGAAGATTGTAATAAGATCGGATCATGCGAATGCTGGTCCCCACCAGCCCCTTGCTCGTCAGAGTTCGGGGGGTCTGCCACCGGAAGAAGGTTATACCTTCTGAAATACCTTGCTGTCTGGGGTTCATCGATCAACAATGATAGCGCTCGCGGGGGGTAGAACCTAGATAAGGACTCGATGACCTCATCTAGGTAATGTTTGCCAACAGGGAAAGCACGCCCGGAGATACGAAGATGTGGAGCAGGCAAGCGACCTCCGTCGTTGACGATATTTTGAAAATATGAAGCGAAAAGGCCTATATCAAGAGTTGCGCTCATCACAATAATCTTAGGCGCATGCAGCCCTAGGTTACGGCGTTGATCGACGAAGTTTCTCAGAAAAAGCATGAGTAAGTCGAGGTCAAGGTCTCGTTCGTGAACTTCATCGAGTATGATGTGGGAGAAAGACACCAGGTAGGACTCGGAATGCAGCATGTTAAGGAGATAGCCAGCCGTGCAGAACGTGATTGAGCTCAATCTTGTGGGACGTCGAGAATCAAATCGAATTTGATACCCTACGGAGCATCCAAGTGATTCCCTTCTTTCTTTCGCAACCCGCTTCGCTAGTGAAGTCGCTGCTATTCTGCGAGGTTGGACGCAAAGTATTTTGCATGCACTTTCGGAGTCCTTGACCATAGCATTGTCGAGCAGCATCTGGGGCACTTGTGTTGATTTGCCGGAACCAGTATCTGCTACAATGAGCGAATATGTGTTCTTCTCAACAAGGTCAAGTATGTCATCCTTCCTTCTGCTGATCGGCAACTTTCCTTGGCGCTTCCACAGCCTACCAATAGGTGAGCCCAATGAGTTATCTACTTTTTTCTGCTCATTGAAGCCCTCCTGGTCAGCTGAAATGGAACTCCCTATTTGCCCTCCACTGCACTTTGCCGTAGAAAATTTGCAGGCACGTCTTAAATCCCCCAAGGCCCTAAGTATGACAATAAACATATCTTCGTCTATATTTAGCTTCATATATAGGAGTTCTTCTCGTAATTCGTTGAGCTCTTGCAACAAACCACTTGTATGGAGCCTTGAGATCAAGGCCAACAAGGCCTGCAGTTCTGCTGAAGACTGACACACATTAGCTTAAGCAGCTAATTCGAGCTATCATGTATCGTACCTTACCTTCGAGCTTCCTGTTCCGGACGTGGTTATAGTTGTAGAGGTATGCTGAAGGGTGCAATTTACGGTGCAATCAAACTTGCGCTTGTCACGGCTAACAAATCGAGATTTGAGCATTATTAGCCCCTTCTGAACAAAATCAGAGTGTAGCACGGGCTTAGGTGACCGCAAAAGCACCTTTCCAAAACCATTATAGTCTTCCTCTCTTGGAAGAGCATCGATGACAATTTGTGATTCGTCTACAGCACTGGCTGTATTGGCGTCTGGTGTTCTCCAAGACAAACCACTGTTGTCGCACGCTAGCCCATTCTCAACTAAAGGGCCCCTTTCCTGGCTTCGCGATTGTGAGGTGGACCGCTCCACGGATGCTTTTGTAGTTTCTTCCAAGGCACACGCTGTGCTTGACCCTGTCCTGATCATACAGTAAGGGACTAGAGCACCGTGAAGTAAAGGGCGTTTCGGCTCTAAAAGTGACCTGCATATCTCCGTAGCGCGGTCTCTAGTCTGGGTGCTAGGTAACACTGCAGTGTAGCGACGAGTTGCGATGTTGCGCTGTTGCGAAGGTCGCGTCGGGTTTAAAAGAGCGAGACGTAGTTTGGGATGGCCATCTTTGATGCAGGGAAAATGTCTGATGCTCTATGACAGGGTGGTAATTAGCATTGACTGTGTGTCATGAGAAAAAGTAGAAGCCTGATAACATTGTACCGTATAACTTTGCATCGCCGCAAGCCAGGTGAGGGTGCGGTACTATTACGCATTGATCGCCGCATGAAGAGAGGTGAATTATGAGATAATGGTGGCGTATATAGCCATTACTTGGTTTATATGATGCCCCTTTCGAGAGGATAGGGGAAAGAAAAGATAAAGATAAAGATAAAACAAGGCAAAGATGGACGAGTGAAGTAATATTCTTATGTCTTTGGGTTATGAATTTTAAAAAAGTGAATATCATCAATAGATCTAATTGGCCTTGGCGCGGCATAAATTTATTCAATCACCACTCTACCATCTCTACTAAAGATTCCAATTCTTCAAACTACACACTTAAAGTGCGTGTATCCAAATAGTAGAATGTATTACGCAATCTTTATTATAAGTGAGTTCATGGCGTCATTGCGTGTGTATTTACATGTAGATCTATCCTCTCTCCCCCTCTCTATATATATTGTTCTCAGTAAATATGAAAGAAGCAACCCCAGCCCGAGCAATACAATGGATGTGCGAGGAAGCAAGACAAGATTAAAGAAATAAACTAAAAACGATGAACCAACGCTCATGACGCTTCTCCATGGTGTTGGTGTTTTTGTTTCAATTTTTTCTCCGTCTTCATAAACTCTCGAATCCCAACTGGGATGCTGGCAAACAGGTCGTCTGCCTGATCGGGGATGGTCCAGTTTGCCTCACTCCCGCCTCCATCGTCATCCATGCTAGTGCTCGCAGACGCGACCTCTGCCCTTGGAGTGTGAAGCAAATCCCCAGTCGGCCCTTTCGAAGCCCCCTTGGCCTTAGCCTGCGCGACCCTCGCCGCCCAATCTTCCATCTCATCACGAAAATCATCCCAGACGCAATGCACACAGCCACTCATGCAGCAATTGTCAGGCTCCTCTGGCCGCGGTGGTATCGCAACCCCATTTATAGTTTTCCATGTAGACCCTGGTGGTCTCGAACCGGGGTTATACCGTGAAGAGCGACCAGGGCCAGCAAGGCGAGTGCCAAACACAATAGACATCTTGTCCTGCGGCGAGTGAGGCTCGATTGAAGATGTTGACGACTCGTCATCCAATTCTTTAGAAATAGGACGCGAGGAACTTGCTTGACGTCTGTAAGGAGAGCGAGATGAGAGAATGTCATGATAGTACCCTGATAATGGATATGCTTGAATGGGTCCTGAGTCGTTCAAGTATGCTGTCGTGTCCTGATACTTGGTATGGGCATGGCTGGCTGCTCGTCGGGTAGTGGGAAACGGGGCATATCGTCCGATAGACAGTGCTGATGCAGGGAGAAAGCGCGCCTGGTTTATAGTTAAAAAATAACCCATACCCGACAAGCAGGGGGTCATTTTAAACACTGATCGCCCTTTACCCATGAAAAGAAACTCTGTAGTGCCGGGTGGTTGCCGGGAAGAACACTGGAAAGTGCTCTTTGCCATCCGAGGCCGACATTATGTCATTATGCAAACAATACAAACATTTGAATGGCGTCTCGCAGAATGCGATGTATGCTATCGCAAGGTCTGCAGATCGCGTCGTTCTGCAGTATCAATCCTTGACAAAGTCGAATCCTCCAAGGTGGCTGCGAAGGATTGGCATTGTATATAGGGCATCTATACGTTCCTAGGACATCTATCCTTGTCTCAGACGGCGCGAAACAAGTGTAGCGCTGCTGTTCTCAACACGTCGCCAATGAACCCGCAACCTGAAAATGAAAATGCACAGCGCCCGCCTGATCGCGGATCACACAAAGAACCATCGAGAGAAAGCTTAGTGCAATCGCAACCGGAGAGTCAGCTGCGCGCAACCAGCAACTCATCGAAGAGGGGCTCAAAAATTCCTATAGCCCAAACTGAAACGAGAGCTCTTGGGTTACGCGATAGAAAAGCTCTTAGGCCGTCACTGGTTCCAGATGCAAGCCTAAGGCTGGACATAAACTCACCAAGCAGGCGATCAAGTGGTCTTCAGGCGTTTGCAGCCCCTCCGAGGCGAGTCTCGAGGAGAATCCTTCCTTCAGACCTGTCATTCAAGTCTCCGATAGTGACACAGGGGAACAAATTGGATCGTGGACTACCAGATAGTCCGGACGACCAATTAGCATCTGAATTGAGTAACGCAACGGGCGAAGCCAATTCACATGCAGACTTGCATGAAGGGCTCGAAGAACCTGATCTCCCCCCAACCCCAGCGCAATTAGGCCTAGAAAGACCCCCCGCACGTCCAAAAGGGCTACTGAGCAGTAGTCCGACTATGCAACATGGCAACTGGGGGAAACGACGGACCACTAACCATCTAGAACAGAGCCCCTCTAGGCTTAGGAATGTTCATTATGGAGAAGGAGACGAAGACCTACTGGAATCTGACCCAAATATGGCTCAAGGACTATTTCCAGAGCCCGTTCTGAAAAAGCGGCGATTGACAATGCAACTTGCCACAGAGATAAAAAAACTTAGCGATGACATTGTTGAGTTGGAGAATTGGTCAAAGAGCTTAAGTTACAATGTCGATGATACAGAACTAGATATGGGCAAACTTATGTAAGTATTTCATACCCAGTCGTTTGAAATCTGACCTGACTGATGGCAGGTCAATATTGTGTGAAGATCCCAATAGGGCAACGCCTGCAAAGCCGGGCCCATATGATATGTCTATATCTTCTTTAATCTCCACGTTGCTTCCGTTTTCTACGAAGTGTTCTCCAGTAACTTCAGAGGAGCATCCTCCGCCGAATCCTTTTGCCCTCGATACACTTTCTCAAGCTGAGCCATATCTAACAATATTCGCCCCATTGAAACTCAAATCATATTCAAATACTTACTGCGGTTTGGACCCAGACAAGCACTTGGAGAAACATACCTTGGAACTATCTACACCGCGGCCCTTTCCTTCTAGACACCTCCACTTAGCCATCAACTACGAAACGGATCCAGAAACGCAGTCTGTACTCTCCATATCGGTGCCAATGGCTATTGACAACAAAGTACCGGTATCTTTGCGCCAGTGGATCGAATCAAGGCTAGCGAACCCACTCTTGAAGTTGGATGTATCGGGTCTATGTTGGGGCATACAACGGTACTGGGAAGCCTCAATATCACGTGCTAAACTATGGTCGCGGCTAGAAGGACAATATCGAGGACTGATCAGAAGTCGTGGAACAACCAGTGATACTGATAAATTGGATGACTTCCTAGACCCCGATGTGCCCACTCTCTCAAGTATAAATCCACGGAAAATACTACCACACCTTGAGCGTACATCTATGCTATTCGAGTCCGGAGGTGGAGAGTCTTTACGAGCCTACTTTTCATGCGAACTAGCAATCGATGAATGGGCAGGTGAGCCCAGGTTGGTCCCGGGGATCAGTGTGTCTGCACCGTCCATGATGAATGGCAGGTCGGGAAGCAAGGTGGAACAAGATGTCAAAAGACTATTTCACACAATTTTGAACGAGAAACAGAGCGGGCGAATAGGCACAGACGTTGATATCAATGCAGATGCGATAGTACATGCTGCTGAACATATTCTGGGTGTCTTATTCTTTGATGAGCCCGAAAAACATTCTTTCAAAGTGAAGGCAAAAAAGTGACTGCATATGTCATTGGAACTGTCTTGGATTGGTTTTCGAATCCACTAGCTGATCTCAAAACTTGTTGATCTAAAAGCGACAGCGTCTGCCCCTCTGTAAATCAACAGATGGATCGCGTCCTAGACACATTTCCAACCTCTACCGAACCTGAGAACAAACTTACATTGACTACGAAAGCAGAGGTTTACGCAGGTTGTAATCCAGTGTATATAGATTCATCTCCGTCATTGAACTAGCTTACCGGGGCCTGCACCAGGTTGCCCTTCCATAGTATCTTGTGTGTTGCCTGCCTCCAAACGAGGACTAAGCCATCGGTGTGATGCAACAAATAATCGCCAAGGATGTCGCTTGATACGAACCCAGCGACCACAATCTGACGGACCAAGATGCAGCTTCTTAGCATACAACCCTAACTCGGAGTAGACCCTTTGTTTTTTTTTGGAACGTGAAAATTGGGGCATTTGCATTTCGGAAGGTTCGGAGTTTTTTAAGGACAAAGGTAAATTGAGAAAAGGGGCGCCACGCCATGCCACAGTACACTAATCCCCGACTTGAAAATAGACCCGATCATCATTAACTGTGAATCACATTTATTTCTTGGCGGCGGACTCCTCCTCGGCCTTGGCCCTAGCACGCTTCTCACGGATACCCTTGTAGCGGGCCTCACTGCGGGCCTCACGCAAGCGGCGGTAGGCAGCCTCCTCACCCTTGGGCAGATCATCACGCTTGATCTCAGTGACAGCCTCCTCGGCAGAAGGGTTCTTGATGGGAAGGGTGGCGTTGGCGCGAGTGGCATAGCCCTCGGTCTTGCCCTCAGCGGCGAAGGCAGCCTTGGCAGCGTTGACCTCTTCAGCAGAAGAGTCAAGCTTCTTGAACTGACCACTCTTGCGGGGGAAGAGAATCAAGCGGGCCTTGTAGTCCTTGAGGCGATCAACATTGGCGACCAGCGACTCCTTGGAGTAGTTGACACGGCGGTGGTCAACAGCGATACCGATGGTAGAAGCGAGCTTCTTGGGGATTCCGGCTTCCTATATAGTTTTGAAGCAAGTCCCATGTAAGCTTCCATCCAACTTCGAAGCCCAGCAAGTAGAACAGCACCAGCACTAGGGGCCCGCTCCATATCCAAAGGGGACAAATTTACCTTCAGCTCAGCGAGAGTGAATCCACGACCGGCACGGACACGGCGGTTGTACTTGACGGTAGGGCAACGCACAACGGGACGCAGCTTGTCAACCGGACGAGGAGCAACAGCGGCGGCCTTCGCAAGACGGGCCTCACGACGGCGGTGCTTGCGGCCAGGCTATAAAATGGTAAATAGTTAGTCAACCATATATCATCCCCCTGACCGAAACATGTCGTTCGAAATGTGATTTAGGCGAGTATGGTTTCGATTGCGTACCTGGTCGAAGTGCACGCGCACACGACGCTGCCAGTCCTTGCGGAAGTCTATAATAAATTTGTCAGTTCGTTGTTCCACAGAACAGAAAATGCCATCCCCTATTCCCAAATGTGAAAAACTCGTTCCCTCAGGTTCACTTACGCTGGTTTTGAATCTGGTTGTTGTGCTTGATCGCCTATACCACCAAAATTCATCAGTAACTTTGCCCTCCCCAACGAAAAAAGCGAACTCGATATCATTTTGTTAAGTCGCAGAAAGATTCAAGACAGCGAGGGTCAGAATAACGCACCATTGTGACGGACGGTGATCAAGGCCGAGATTGTCGTCGTCGTGGGTGGTTGCTGGTCGGATCTCAAAACGACTCTTCAATAATGGGTGGAACTTTTTTGGTGTGGCCAACCGCGCAGAGCCGCGCCGGTCTCGCTTAGCGAGAAGCCCTACCC